GTAATTATTTTAATTAAAACCTTTAATTAAAATGATAATAAAAATATATATTTAAAATATACTGTATTTTAGTTTCTCTCATTTTAATATCCCTACACATTGTGTGAAAAATGTAATTTTGTAATAATTACATTATGAATATTTTGTATAAATATAAATAAAAATAAAAAAGTAAATCAGATGCATGTAATGACTGTGAGTTTAAAGATAATAATAAAAAAATACCGCCCTTGAAATCGTTACATTTCTCTGGCATCCATCCAGCTTGTGGCCTTCAAAGGTTCTTCCATTCATTTAAATAGAATGCATCAACAATTCCCCCAGATTTGACATCATAAAGGTTAAATAATTCTTTAACTCAAGCCTGATCAGGATCTGTCAGCCTTTTAAGCTACGTTGACATTCAGCCAGTCTGCTGTTCCCAAGAGCGGACGCTGAGACATATGACAAGCCGGACAGATGAAAAGATGAACTGAATGTAAAGATCCAGCTTCCATTGTTCATCGGATGATCATTAGTGACAGTTTCTACAGCACCACAACCAATGTGAATTGAGGGAAAATAAGAAAAATTAAATTACAAAAAAATTACAAAAAGAATTGGATTGAAATCTAATTAACAAAAATAAGTCATAAACAACAAACAACATTTATTTAGTTTACGAAAAAGCATTAAAAGGAAAAATATCTTAATGTTAAGTACTTTAAGTAAAGCATGGGACGGCTCTGGAATGGCTGAGGGCTGCATTTCAGAGGTAGAAGTAAAGTCAGTTACTGTAAGACTTGCAGTACTGCAGTATCACAGCTCGTATGAAAACAAAACAAAGTTGCAACAAGGCAGCTTAAATTTGTTTCACACACTTAATTATTTTGTGGAAATGTTTACGTAGCATATCCTGCGCTAGAAGCACTGAACACTGGTCACATTTCCAAGGTAAAAAAAAAAGCAAAAACCTACCAGATGACCGAGGCAAACTCCAGAAAGGCTATCATGGCTATTTATTTAATTTCCCCTATTAAGTCATTACTCACAGTTCCCATCGCACTGATGACAAAACCTCGTCTGATTTATCCCTTAATTGTTTCAAGTTCAACATGTTTGCACGGCCAGAAACTTTTTTTTTACCCCCAGACAGTGACTGTGGTGGGTTATTCAGGGTATTTGGCCTCACACTGCAGTTTATCAGCCTCTGTTGTTGCTAGAGCCTCGTTGCCATGGTGTCACATGGCAACAGTCGCCAAGGAAAATTACAGTTACTACTGAGGCAATGTGGTGCTGGCGAGAAGAGGGGTGGCACCGCATGCCTGCCTGCTCCCAGCAAGAGAGTAATTGTATCAATATGTAAAAATCTCCGGCCGCGGAGCCGTTGAGACATTTTATATTTTTTAAATTGTTAATACAAATGGAGTCACTGCAGTGTGGAGAAGAGGACGACACGCCGAGGAACGAGGCGGCCGAGTGAATCGTTCTGAGCAAGCAAACACCTCTCAGTGTTATTCCGTTCTTTTTTTCCTGTTGCCAAACTACTTTGGATAAGATGGATCATTAGAGGCATGAGAGATTAGACTCTCTTCCAGATGCAATAGTGCGGGACCGCAGCTGACTTTAATTTCATGTCTCAATGAGACTCTATTGCGGTAATCAAGCACCGTTGGCATGTTAAAAGCTAACCTGACTCTGCAGGGCACATCCCAGGAATCCGGAGCACACAACAAACCCCTGAGCTCCACTGACACACTGCTGAGCTATGTCGACGAGTTGGAAACAAACGTCCTAATCCACACATGTTCTCACTCATACCAGGATTTGGCTGCAGGATCAAGGACGGCGTGGAGGAGATGGACACTATCCTTGTTGACAGTACCCTGACAAGTGTAATCCCATACAATACACACTGGGTAAACAATACTTGGAGCCAAGCGTGTAACCGCGGCCCACACTTCCTGCGCTCTTGCCCTTCGGGTCCTGGAACTTTTTTGCCTTTTAAACAATATAAAAGGAGTCGAATGTAGAGCTTTACAAACAAGTGCAAAACTGGATGTATACTGCCTGCTATGATAAAGATACGTACTGTATTTACAAGCACACACAGAAGTTATGTCGCAAACAAAAGCTCACGCAGAACAATCCCAGCCGTCTGTGAACACACCATCATCCAAACAGGGGGAAAACCTGCAGGAAATCTTTGAAATCCGACTCAGTTCCTCTCTGCCATAGAAGACGAACAGAGTCACACATTAATTTAATTTTTCATTCAGATTTCATTCGGAACCATTTCGGTTGACTTTTAGTTACGTATCTTTTATCCGATTTAAGGCTATTATGTTGAACCTAACAAAACAAGATGAAGCTAACAGAAAGATTTTTTTGGCTGCTCTCATTTCCAACCTGTCAGCATTGTACCATCACACTCCCCTGCTGCGGACTTGAGGGTCTTACCCTGACTGTTTGGCTGTATGGCCCGATGTTGGCCGGGGCCCAGTGGGACAGGCTTTGGACATGCATGGCCTGTCTCTGGTGGAAGCAGCATTCCTGAGGGGGCTCCGTCCAGTCATGGAGTAGACAGTCCATCTGTAGCAGCTGACCAGCAGGCAGTGGGACTTGTACACACACTCTGCCATAGAAGAGGATTTAGAAATATTAATCATATGTAAATTTGAATTAGAAATCAATTTAAAACATCAAAAACAAAAAAGGCAAAGATGAAGGAAATACATAAAATATATCAGGTTTTTTCTGTACCTTGCGGGGGGATTGAAGCTGAAGTGTTTTTTGTAAACTGCGTTGGCTTCACCAAAGTCCTCCATGCTGCTCACATAGAGGTGGACCAGGACAATGTCCTTCATCGTCCAGCTGTTTATGTCCAAGTGGTCTAAGACACAGGCAACACATTTAAAATGACTTAGGTCTCTAACACAGGGGGCTCAAATGGGAAATCAGTCAAACACTGACTAAAGTCGTCTAATTGCCTGTCAATACTTTGATATGGCCGCGCTAGTAATGTTAGCGACAAAATGACCTCTTGACCTGACTAGTTAAAAATGTGTAATTCTGACAAAACCTATAGATAGATAGATATACATATATTCACTTATATAGATATGTACTGTATATACACATACATATATATACACATATATAGACAAAAACAAATTCTGATTGTAATCAAAAATTTCAATAAATATTTTTTTATTCAATGGCTCTATTAATGTGGAAAAATATCATGCAAAATATGAAAAAGTAAAATTCAAAATTGAGTGTCATAGACCTGGCAGATCTTTGTTATTTCTGTGCATCTTCATCGTGTCTTGTCAGCTACTGAAAGGTACTGTGGATTCCAAGTAGTATATATATATATTTACATATATTTACACTTATATAAACAGTTCACTGGTGATCACCTCTTTCACTGTCCTTTGAAGAAGAACACAGACTACAGTCAAGTGAAACTGCTCCTAAAGCCACAACAGTGTGTGTCCCCTCTTTAAAGGCAGAGTCAAAATCAATATATGCACACATCTAGGACCAAACACAGGCGTGAAGGGCTCCGAGCTGTTCTCCCTACGATCATTTGAAAGGGCTTCAAGTTTGTTTTTCCTTTGCCAACATCAGCGTCTCAGACTCCTTCGCCTTCATACAAAGAGGTTGTTCATTAAATATTAACTTGTTTAATATTGTCTCTACACTGTGAAGGCTGTTCAGCTGAGCACCGCCATAAACATTAAATATGCTTTTCATCTCTCGCTACCATCAAAAAAGAAATAGAGAAAAAAGAGACTGAGAAACACAGTAAAAGGGAACGCTTTTAAACCCCTGCAGGGTAAAAAAAAAAAAAAAACACACACAAAAAAACAATAACCCACCCAACATGACTTCATTGTATGCAAGTGTGTGTTTTAAAAAGCAGGCCTGGGACGCTTTAAAAGTCTTGTCGTCGTCTGGTAGCCATTCTTGTGACAGATGGAGCCTCTGAAACACAGGGCTGTGCCTGCTGTTGATGTCAGGTAGATTTGAAAATGGAGCAACTTTTCAAGCTCGGCAACGCCCCTCTTGTGTGTTTAGCTTAAATGGCAAGAAGCGAGAAAGACGCCCAGAGGACCACGAAGATTTGTGTCATTTATATATACTCGAAATTGTTTTGTGAAAGGTCAAAGCAGGTAATCTCGTACAGCAAGTCCTCCCTATGTCATTTCCCTGTCGTTATCTCAAATATTCTCACTGTTCTAGAAGTGAATCTCCCCTTTACTCTTTTTCTTACTTTGCAGCTGTATTATAGCCGCTGACATCTGGCCTTGAACACCTGGAACTGGGCTCTGGAGGCCATTGATGCCACTGATCCACTGGTAGCCCCTGGAGCTTCTCGGTGAGGAAGATGGAAGAAGGTCTGCAGAAAAGAAAAAGAGGGGCAAAAGAAGTTCATCACACCTGAAAGAAGTCAAGAAAATCTTCTCATCTACTTTTTCAACCAAAAATGACAACTCAACTTAAAATTACCTTTTTACTCAAATAATTTTTTATGTATTAATAAAACTTATAAAAATAATAATTTAATTTACACACAAAATATATATTACTTTATTTTTTTACTGCTTAACGCTTTCACAGGTAAATGTCCTTACCGCATGCAAAGAAGCAAAAAAAAAAAAAAAAAAAAAAAATCAAACAGAGGGCAGCATCCTACCACCCTCCCCAACATTTCAATTGGTATATTCAAATAGATTGATGGGGAATTTTAAATTTAAAAAAAAATTAGGGAAATTGAAAACATTTAAACATCAAAAATGTAAATACATTTTAGATGCATTTTACATTATTTTTTTAATCAAGCTCTGATTCATACAGCTATTGTTCGCTAAGTTCCTACAAAGTAAATTAGAAACATTCCACATATCTACGTACTGAGATTTCCTGCTTTTCTTGGCAGGGAAATAGAAAAACATATTTGTCTTCATAACCATCCATAACCAGAAATACACATTCTGTTTGGGAGTCAACTCATGTATAGGCGGTTAAAGCGTAAGCGTGAAAAAATATTCAAGGTTTGTCACAAAGATCTTATCAACTGACAGCTCCTGTCAAACAATCACTCAAAAGAGCAGGCATCACCGTTCGGAATGCGTGACACAAATTCAGGGCCAGCGTTCGCGGTGAATGTATCGTTTGACACACCCATTCACGCAGGCGTGCACTCACACACTCCTGCATGCATGTCTCACAATAAGTAAGTCTCACCGTGGCCCGGCTGACAACTGAGGTCACGTCTTGATGTAAATTCTTGCTGCTTGTCTTGGGCTTGATCAGCATATTCCACCTCTTCAGTCATCTTGTCAATGGCGTTCTGGCAAGGACAGCCACCGCCAGGCAAAGCTCTCGCCACCGCATCCTAAAACAAGACACCGCAGGGAATACATTAGGGGCCAAAACCCCCACCGAAGAGTGCAGGGCCTTCTGCATGGACAGACAAAATGGCGTATAATTAGCAGACCTTTTCCAAATGACCCACTGTGTTGGCCACATTTGTCAGTCTCTCATGACGAGGGAAACAGACACACATATCTTCAAGGTGAATGAATATAAAACAACACGCTTACATGAGGAGTGGTGTTCTCTGATACCGTAAATTCAATCACTCTGGCTGTCAATCAAAAGCGTCACATGATTTGGATTCTACCTGTTTGTTCCATCTTTGTTATTCACTTCTTTAATTGAACAAAAGATCAGAGTTCTCCGAGGCACGCGTTCAGCCTTCAGAGCCCTGCGGGACGTCACACATTTAAATACATATTTCATATTTCCTTCAACACCCGTCTCACTCCACCCCCACCCTCAGTCACCCTCAACCCCCCCCCCCCCCCCCCCCCCCCCCCTCCCCCCCACCCCCCCCCTCAAATTAATTATACTTCAGCCCCTCTATCTTCTGGCCAGCATGAAAAATAGCTTGAGTAGCATCATCGCAGGGCAAATGATGGTGGTCCATCCCCACCCCCTGAGTCGGGTGTAGTTTCCACAAGAGCTGATGTCACTGCAGATCTGTCACCCTGACGAGAAGAGCTTCAGAAGGCAAACTAGGGCAGGTTCTTCCCCTGGTTGCCCCGCTCTCTCTCGTCACCCCCTCCTGGTGTGGATTTCCCTGGATGTTCTACCGTAAACCTGGGGGACTGGAGAAGGGGCGGGGGAGGTTACGGTGGACGAGTGCGTGTTTGTGTGATGGGGGGAAAGAAGTAGTGCCGAGGGCAGTGAAAAAAATAATATAGCTGTAGGGGAGCAAGACTGGGGGGTCACGGAGGTCGGGGGTATGTTTTTTGTCCAGAACAGTCCCAGCCCCCACCACAGAGACACACACAACACGACAAACACTGACCTACACTGTGGTTTTTCCCCTCACTCAGAGAAAACTCATTACTGTGTGATGTGCAAATGGCATGCTTTAGTCTGTTGACAGGCACCGGCCCATACTGTAGCCTCACACCCTCAGGTCGCTGCAGCAAACACAGCAGCATCCAGGTAATAGGGGAAACACAGGGGGTCGCTATACTGTATGTCAGACCCTGGTCTGACTCCTGGTGCAGATGCTATGCTATGACCTGCATATTCGACCGTAGCTTCTATTAAAAAGCCATTTTTTTTCTGCTTGTGTTTAATTGGCAATTACTACGGGGTCAAAAGACTTAATGCTGACGACTGTCTGTGTGTTCCGGCTCAGACTGGTTTTCTGCAGTGACAGTGTAGCTTCTATTAAAAAGCTTAGACTGGCTCAGACTGGTTTTCTGCAGTGACAGTAAATACTTCTTTGCTTTTGCAAACAATCTTTTTTTTTTGTGCCAAATTACGATTATAATAATGTGAGTGAGGTGGAGGTGGGAAAGGCCCTGGATTAAAGTTCTCTAGGGAGGAGGAGCTAATTTTATTATTATGAAATAATTATCAAATGGCCAGTCAGAGAGTGTTGTTGTAAGTGTGACACCTATGGGATCAGATATGAAAATTGGCTGGGGCCGTTCAATGAAGGTGAGTTCATAAAAATGTCAACATTTTTAACATCCCTCCACCCTATATATTACTTTATTTATGGTAAAGAAAAACCAAACTATTAATACAATGTAGTCAACAGTACAATTTTGTGAAAAAAATAAACTTTTATATTCCCTTGAAAAAAGTTAATTTAAATGCAGGTTCAAAAATGAAAAAAAAAAAGAGTTTGAAATACTGCAGATAAATCATGGTTTTAAGCATATATAGGGGTTGTTGGTTTGATTCCTTGCCTTTTTGTTGCAAGGGTATTTCTGTTTTCACTATCCTTAAAAATGCAGATTAAGGTTAATTGTTTGTCTCCATGTAAGGCCCTGAGGTTGGAGACTGATCCAGGTTGAACACAGATTCTTTTGGGGGGTTTTCATCCGAGTGAACACTACAGGGTATTCTTTTGGGGATTTTCATCGGAGTGAACACTACAGGGTATGGTTTTAAAATTGCACTGAAATAAAGGTCAAACTGTAAGAGTTAGGGCCTGAAAAGATTTATTATCATTTAAATCATGAGACAACCGTCCACTCTACAGAAGAAAAATTATCAAGAACTATGAAGAAGCTCTGCGAAATGCAGTTTCAAGTGCGCATAGCATACTTTTAAAGTGATGGAGGTCATAGGTCACCATTACCGTGCACAAAAGATACATTTCTTGTGCTCATTTGAAACTAATTTGTTTTTATTATTTTGCCAGTGATGTCCCCTCAGGGGCTTCGTACTACTGCTTCCCTTAGAGTCGTACGTCTTCTCTTGGACCTTTCCAGTCTGTAAATCCTTCTTTAGCTCCTTCTAATTTACCAAAAGCCGTTTTCCCTCTGCCTTCCTGCAGCCCCTGAAAGCCAACTACCTGAATGCAAAGCCCCTTAATGTGAGCAGACATGTTTATTAAGCTGGGCCTAGTTTAGGGCTGCAGTGAATATTGCAGACGTCAAAGTAGGCCATGTGGGACTGGAGGAGAGAGTGTTAGGGGTAAGGGAGGCGGGGGGTGAGGCAGAGAGCAAATGAGAGCGGGAGAGAAGATTGGCCCTCCGGAGGGTGATGTGAACTCTGCCCTACAGTGCCGCGTTTCTCTTCTCCTCAACAAAGTTAACAAACACCAAAGGGTTTTGTTCTTGTATTTGTTTACGTCCAAGGAGTGGGGGTTTGTTTTTTTTATAAGTAGTCAGCCCCAAAGCAGTTCAAACTTTTGTTGCCAAAATGATCGATTAAGCTTCGAACACCATTGATCTTATCTACAGAACCAGTTGTGCTCGTGGATTCTTTCAGAAGTTCCGCATACTCACGCTGTCTTTGTTCTCCACGTGCATCTTTGTGAAGCGCAAGTAGCCAACTGGAGCGAAGGCATCTGCTGAGTGGATCACTGTCTCTGCTGCATCACTGCACAAAAAACACACACAAAAATAAATACAATATGGGCCTGTGTATTGTTTGAAAACAACAACTTTCCAAATGTATTGCTGCAAAAAAAGTTTATTCAAGTCAAAAGTTTCTTGGGATTTTATTGGTGTGGAGCATCAGTGATGTATTTTTATTTCAAAATCTAATGAAAATGTTCCTCATAAATGTATCTGTTATTGAACAAAGAACTCTAATATAAAAAAAATGTTTATTTTGCACTTAAGGCAACCACTTACATGGGTAAGAAAAAAAAAAGAAGGGGTAACTCTCTTAAAAATGTAACTTATATCCGATTCTAAATTGTTCTTTTTTGACACTAAAAATCTGATCAAATAAAACACTTGACAAATAAATGTTGATAAAAGATCTCAAAGCTGTAAAGAGACGCCAGAGGGACGGATTGTCTCAATGGTTTTCAGCCAGTACATTCAGACACATTTTAAAATATAACATATGTCTTAGAACTTTTTGACTTACTCTCTGGTAATAAAGTGGTGATTTTCTTTCCATAGCCTGAAGTGGTTTACTGAAGCATAGAGATATAAATATTCATAGTAGTTTGTCCCTTAAGGTAATATTTTACTCACATCACGATCTTTTTCTTGAAGAGAGGACAGTCAAGGGTGAAGGTTTCATATTCTCCTCCTTCACCACAAACATGGACTCCATACTTCTGGGAGAGCTGGACGTTACAACAGTACAACAATGCGTTATTTTCAGAAGATTTGAAGGTTTGTAGATTAGCATTGAGTCTGTGGTGCAGTGAAAGTCTGGGCAGATACAGAAGAGTGTCTGGTCCGAAGACGACTCTTAGCATTTGTTTTCTTATTTCCAAATATATTAACCAAACATTCACCACTTCTGAGACCATTTCCTGTGAAATGTTCACACTAGTTTTAAATCATCAAAAATGTAACAATTTAGTTTTCTCAGTTACTTAATGTAACTAATGTAAACACTTGGTTTTAGCTTAGCGTAGCATAGCATTTCTTAAAATGACACATATTTCATTAATATGCGTAAGTAGAACTCAGATTTTTCATTAGATAGTTAGTGGATTTTAGTCATTACTGTGTATCCTGACAGTTGCCATGGTGTAGGTAGAGGTGCTGTACAACACATACTGGGGTGATGTTTTAAACTTGAGGTGCTTCAGTGAATTGACAAATTCCTCCCCACAGTGTGTATAAATAACATGTGTACTGACTGTGTACTAGAGTAAGGTTAACAGTAGTAAGGCTGCCCAAAAATATTTTTATCTATTCTGTTTCATTTGTTTGAGAAAAAACAAACAAAAAAAACAGACAAAACCATTTGTTTGAGAAAAAACAAAAAAACAAAAAAACAGACAAAAATGTTTGTTTACATTTTTGACTTTTGTTTCCTTCCTCTACATCTTGTCTGCAAACCTTCCTGGGATGTTTTGATTATGTAAACATTTTAAAAATAATTAAATGCATTTTATTTAATATAATAACCTGTTTTTATTACATTGCCTTCTAAATAAATTGGTACAAGGGGGCAGCACTGGGAATGACTCATTTGTTGATCTAAGTTTACGGTACATTTAATGGGAAAACAAAACCAGTTTGAGAAACATTTGGCATTTATTTATTTCTGAATATTAGACAGTGTAATGTTCCTATTATGGTCAAAGTCAATTCAAACGTGCAGCAGCAGTGAAGACTAACTACCAGTCAGTGACCTGTTTCAGAAGGGGCTCCATGTCCGACAGAGGTTTTCCTAAGTGCTTCTCTGGATCCAGGCCTGGCACCCACGTGGGAAATATGCACAAAGACAGAAATACACAAACACCGAAGGAAGGGAGAGGAAGGGGTGAGAGGAGGTGTGAGAGAGGGAGAGGGAGTGAGAGAGAGAGAGAAAGAGAGAGAGAGCGGTCAGTCCACTTACACAGAGCAGTGATTGGAGATGACAGGCGAGGAGGTTTACGGGCAGTCACACAAACACACATGTAAAACTGCACCCAGGATCTATTTGTTTGACTTTGTGACTAGTGTACACAGATCTTTCTGGGTAAGGGCAACAGTTTTCAGTTGCCGGCCGCAGACCCCCCACGTCCCCCCGCCTGCCGCCCCCACCTCATTTAGTTCTCTTTTGAGAACATAAACGTTGGAAAGAAACGTTGTTTATTTGCCTTTTTCCCTCCTCTTCCCTCTGAAATGCATGGAAGTGACTCACAGTCATGGGAGAGAAAAGAAGGAGGAGAGAGGAGGGTGGAGGAGGAGGCAGCATATACACGCCTGGTTCTTAACAGTCAAGGAGAAAATAGCACATCATATGATTTAAATATAAACTGGAATCTGTCCTTAAATTACATACATTTTCCAGCAAAAAGTAAACTGGGAAAAATGTTTGTTTTTTTTAGTCCACTTATTTCTGCAGTCACAAAGCTTAACTGGAATGACTGATTAACAAATAAATAACTGCAATATGTTGAAAAAAAGTTTTTTGTCTGGGGTCAATTTGACTTATTTGCATTTAACTTATTTTTGAATTTGTAATTAATTATTTTTTACATTTTTAAACTGTGTTTTTTTTTCTTTTTTTTAAACTATTTTTACAAGTAAAAACTTTGCTATCTTAAATAAATTATGATTGCCAAATTTCACTGCTTCAGAAACTTTTCAGTCTACACCAGGAGATGACTGCCTTGGCCACTTTTGTCAGTTTCTGTCTGAATAATCTTCATCTTCACTCGCCACTCTGACCAAGAACAGGCTCAGAAACTGAACACAGAGACTGTTAGTCATGTATATGGGTCCTGGTCCTGGTCCTGGTCGTGGTTGTGGTTGTGGACAAGGCCGATTTTGTAAATAACTGAAGGTGAGAGGAGCACTTCCATTGTTCACTGTGTTCTGTGCCAGTCTAGAGTCTATGTAACCATCCATTACGGCTCGTTATAGGCTATCAGTTTCTAATGCAATATCTCTGCATACGCTTGAAAGGTCAGGCCAATCAGGCAGCAGCGCAAAGACTGGGCTCCTATAATCTTTTCACAATAGTAGAGAGTCATCTTCATCTTTTACCACTTAATCCTCATCAGGGTCGCAGAAGGGGGTGGAGCCAATCCTTCCTCCTAAACTCCAGTAGTCTATCACTATTCACACTCACATTAACACCAATGGTCAATTAAGAGTGAACAACTAACCTAATCCTGCGTGTTTTTGGACTGTGGTGGAACCAGAGATCACAGTAAATAGTTACAGTTAAATAGTACAGACTCATCCTTGTTCTCAAACATTTTTTTTTATTTCAATATGTCACCAGTTAAACTGTTTCATTAAGGAAGCTTCCATGTTTGTACTTGTTGGATGTTGTTTCAGTCTTACTTTGCGTCAGCCCCGACTGACCTACGTATTCTTCCAGACCATTGTTCGTATTGGGAGCATGAACTCTGAGTCACCCTTTACTCAAACTCGCCGACATTTTCCTTCAGTACAATCCTTTTTTGTTTAATCCATAAAACAAAAGTGCCAAGCACCTGGTGTTTTTTGTTTCAACAAAGAGTAGAATAACAAAAACAGGACACAACAGAAAAACACAAAATCAAAGGAAATCTCAAATCCTGACCTGTACTGCAAAAGACCCACAGATACTTTTAACGGGGGAAAAAAAGTACACTATCATAGGCAGTGCCTGTAAACTGGCAGCGCTTCATCCCTCAACATTTTCTATCTCTCTCTTCCTCTGGTTGCCTGTTAACTGATTGACACCATCATTACCGAGTTAGCGATGATCTACGGAGCGTTGATGCGCAGGTGTGACATCGCCGCTATCGAGACTGAAGAAATTGCCGAACGGCCTCTTCATAATTGCTCAGAAGATCCAATATAGCGTCTCTACTTCCTTCGACCCTGTGCTTCTGCACGCTCATGTGTTTAATTAAAGGACTAAAGTTAATTGTAACGTGAGAATCCCTTTCCACTGAAGTTCTGACAGCCTCAAAGGTTAATGTGTCATCTGTGGGCGCCGTAGGTAGCAATGGACAGGAGACAAATGAGAAACAAGACAGAGGAGGAGAAGCAGGAGAGGCGAAGCAGAGGACGTCGCATCCCACCCTCTCTGTGTCTCCTTTCAGGGCCTGGTGGTCCAGCTCTACACTGGAGAGACGAAAGACTGCAGCGGAGCAAATGGAAGTAAGGAGGAAGGATGGGGGAGATGGGGAGGGAGAAAAGGAGCATACCCTTATTCTCTTCCCAGGAGATCAGTGGTCTTAATTAGTGTGAGAATATCTAATCTTAACATCCTCTCATCTCATCCCTGCCACAAAGGTAATAAGGAGAGAGGGGAGGGGGAAAAGCTTTAAAATTCAATCCAATTTAAATATCCTCTTTAATTAGTCATGGCTTTTTAACAAATTTTAATAATTGGCTCTAAATTGCTGAGGGGATGCAACAGGGATTTTTTTTAAATATCTTAATTAACTTCCCTGGTCTTTAATAATATATGGGACATGATCTGGAATTTACAAGGGAGGCAGATGAAGATGGACACTGAGGAAGAGTGATGAAGTGGTACAACCGTGGCTTCACCGCGGAGGCATTCCTCCTAAGACCACTTAGCACTTGTACGAGTGTTTTCCTAATTGATGCTCCATCCTGTCTGGCTTAAGGTTAGTGGATGAACTGAGGATAGATGGAACGAGCCTTCACTTGTACAATGCATGCTCTGAGGAGTCTTGGAGGAGCCACTGCCACGCCACTCATTTACATGATCTTCACATCTCTGTCTCCTCTCAGGCTGTTTTACAACTTGACCTAAAGCCAATTACCTAACCTTATTATGCCACATTAAACCCAAATAAGACCACTAGAAGCTGCCATTAGTTTAGCGTCAGAGACTCTTTAGAGGGAGAGAAGAGTTCCCTGAGAGGGAGCCGGAGGAATGAGTCTCCTCTAAAAGCGCCTTTTTACCTCGTATTATCCAATAAAGCTCCAATCAAACCCAGTGAACTTTAAAAACCAGAGACTCTGCTAATGAGCGAGAGAGAAGATTTAAAAAAAAACAAAAAAACATTGTTGACATTTAAATGCAGGAATAAGATAAAAAGTTTGCCAAGAAACAAAAAGCCATTTAGACAATAAAGTTTTCTTATTTGATTAACGTATAAAAACACAATTTATAGGTCCATTGTTTGATACAGGAAAAAACATTACTTATTTTAGGTTAACTTTATCCAAGTGCTCGATACGTCATTGAAATACTGCCAATCCAGTGAGGAGAGTGAAGAAGGTCAACACTAGCATTTAAGCATCAGGGATGAAAACAGGAGCAGGACTGTTCTGTTACAACATTAGGAAGTTTATTGAGGAATCTGCGTTTAAAATGTCAATAAAATGTGTGTTTAAAGAAATACTGTTCATTTTATGAAGGTGAAAACACTTGACTTTGTATTTCAAAATGTACATTTTGATGAATGGGTTTTTGTTTTGTATGTATCAAATATTGCATTGGTCTTGTAACAAAGCTGCACTGTTACTGTAAAGTACTTTACATTACCACTGCCTGGCAGTTCAGGTTGAACTGGTTGTCAGGTTAATTCCCCTGATCTTTCCTAGTTGGACATCTTAAGTTCTTTAAACTAAAAGTCAAAGAGAAAACATTGCTACGAGATGAGAAATATCTACAAGTCCGTTTCTATCTTCGGAAAAAGTCAATGGCAATTATTTTTACGCAGCACACACTTTTGCTTTAATTCCTTTTAACGATCATGATCGGCCTTTTTCCTCACCCAGAGGAGGTTGATTAATGTAAACCCACTGCAGTGAATTACCTATATAATTGGAACTGCTTGTGTGTATTTTTTTTCTTTGCTTACTGAGTCTGAAGCTAAATTAAAAGCTGGGAGATTGTAGACGCTGTTAGAAGGGAGCCGTACCACAGTGTGTCAGACATCTGCAGGTTGTCTGAAGATCTGGTTTGCCAGCTGACAGCTTGGCTTTAATCCTCGCCTTTACGGAGTAAATTGGATTCATGATTTGTTACATTTTAGCCTTTTAAATGGATGAAATAAGCATCTCCGTCCTGGAAGTAAGCTTCTTCTCAAAGACCCCCACCAAAACAATGTCTGCTCGTATCAACTGATCTTTTGAAAAGAGACGGAGAAATGCAGAACGCCGACGCAGGGAAGAAGGGGAAAAGGCGGGGCGGTACAAAGCACGATTAGATTAAGGTTATATGTGAAATTTGTCAGGCTGTTATCTGAAATCCATTGTCTGTGAACGAAATAGTAGGCAGCGTGAACAGTGTGGCGACCACGTCCAGATAAAAATCATTCAGCTGAACAAATAAAAAGGTAAAAGTGAAGGTACTTGCACCAAATCACTGAATCAGTATTTACTTTTACACCTATTATTTATGAAATGGGCAGCGTTTGTGCTGACAAAATTTTCACTTAAAATAATCATAATTAGTGGATAGTTAGGCTGTAGGAATCTTGTTATTTAATTTGGCTCCTCTGTGTAATACCAGAACACAAAAGAGTGACTTTCCGAGGATGAATTATTGAATAAATAAAGAAGTTTGGCCAAATTTTTCCTACTTTTTACTACAAAAATTTAAGGTTCTTAAAGGTAAAAGTCCTTTCTAATAGTCCATCCATCTATCCTACCGCTTATTTTTTGCAGGGTCGTAGCAAAGAAAAAAAAAGTATATATGTTTCATTAAGAATGCGTAATAACCACTACACTGAAGCTCCAATACTACTGTTCAAACAGCAGGTACAATTATTTTTTTCCTTAATCTTAAATGACCAACTAAAGTACTTTAATAATTAAAAAATCAAAACAAAAACCATACTCTGCATCAATTGCAATTAATTGTCTACTGACGGACAAAAACCACAAATGCACAGGGAAAGAATGCCAACTGTTTTTTGTGACTTAATCGTAAGGCTTTAAATGAGTCTGCACAGGGAACTGCACAGGGAACTGTTTTTTCTGACTTAATCGTAAGGCTTTAAATGAGTAACATCAAGTTCTTCATCTACATATCAAAATTTTAAAGGTTATAATCCACAAACCACATGAAAACTAAACACACTAATAACAGAAAAGAAGAAACAAGTTGTTGACAAATGTAGCTGAGGGTTAATCAACTCATTGTTGTTTCGGCTTAATTAACCTTGTCATAGAAAATGTCAACAGTCCGCAATTTACAATATGACCTGGTGTTGTTATTTTAAGACATAATTACATCTAGTGATTGAGCAGCTTAATCGAACCCTGATCATCTCCTTTGTGGTTGTTTAATTTTTACCTCATCCTTTCACTGTCTATCACAGCGGCTGGTTTATTCATCAAGGTGTCAGTAACATTTCTACGATGGAATGAAGCGTTAATTGTCTACATTCTCTATCCAACCGCCTTTGTTGGGAGAGGTGATCAGTGGAACTTAACCTGTATCAGGAATTCCCTCTATGCTCACGTGAAGGGTAAAAGATCACACAGGACTGAACTGGATTTTAAAGAAGCCAATTATCTGTGGGACCGAGGACTAATTAACTTTTTTTTTTCCTATGCCCTCGTAGACACCTGCACAAATCAATCAGCTCACTAATTACATTAATGTTTTATTGTATCTTCTGAAATTGACCCTAATATAGATGGACCAAGAGATATTGTATTCAGTTTCACATAAACCTGTCTGTCTCTGAGAAAATTACTTGGTTTTTATTGTAACGCTATGTGTTTATAATCATTAAATTTTAAGATTTAAGCCATCAATAACCTTTGAAGTTCCTCTGTTGACTGCTTGGTATTGTTTGGCCCTTAGATTTAGTACGGTATTCATAAGGCTCGGGGTTTAAGCTACTGCTGCTAACTTTAGCTGGTTTTAGCTTATTTATTTGATCATCTACATTTAGTTAGCATTGCTAAAAACGGAGGCTACAATATAAGCAGCCTGTTTAGCTGTTAAAAATGATTTCCGTTGTTATTTTTTAGCAATGCTTCAGCTAGTTACTCCATGCTAAAAAAAAAAATCTTTCTATTCTGAGATAGTAAACGGAGGCTACAATATGAGCAGCCTGTTTAGCTGTTAAAAATTATTTCCGTTGTTATTTTTAAGCAATGCTTAAGCTAGTTACTTCATGCTAAAAAAAAATCTTTCTATTCTGAGATAGAGATATAGCTTTACTGCTAACATTAATCTAATTTATTTACATGTTGCCTAACTTTGTCTTTGCATATGTAGACTTTTTCTTGGCTATATTTCACCAGTATTTTAGTATACTGCTTATTGGAGTAATTATTCACTAATGTTTACTTACCTCTTATCACTAATTTATTTTTGGCTTTGGTTTGGCTGTGTTGGGCTAGATCTTAAGTATCAAAGTTAGCTAAGCTAACTTGGGGCTAATATGTAGCTCCTCCTAATATACATCAACTGCTTGTTTTTGGACTTTATGTTGGAATATTTATCTTTCATAGTATTTAAGATACTGTTTATGTTACTTTAAGTTGTTTGCCACTTTTGGTGAAATTTCACCATGACTTAAAGTAAATATCTTTTAGAAATATAAGCAGTTGCCAGTAGTTGGCGATCGGTGACAGCAAATCTCTATCAACAATTCCATCCATGAAGGGTGAACTTCCACACTGTAAAGACCTTGTCAATTATCTCCATAACTTAAGACTAAATAATTTCTGAACCTGAGCCCTGACATCACCTTGACTAATCCACATATTAGTTAATTAAATTAATATTTAATCGTAGGCTGTGAAATCGCCCATAATTATGCACAGGAGATGAGAGATAAAACATAATGTGAAGGTAGCACTTTTACAAAACACAATCCTTTTTCTGAGAAAACTGATTTTTAAATAAAAATCCGCAAATTCAGAGGCTTAAATCAAATGGTTGAACTTTCTTTAATTCATGCAATTTAGTATCTTGAAAAAAGAATTGTCTCTTTCTCCCTTTTGTGGTTTTAGTCTGCTTTCAGCACATACATGAATTCACTTAGAGGATCATCCTGCATTTAGACAGCTGTCTTTTCACTTTGGGATTTGTCATTATGGAAAAAAATATCATCCCTTTCTTTTATCCGTTCACTCATAATTTCTACCTGTCTTTTTTTATGGACCATAATGAAGGAATATTAATCTTAAAAGACTCCCTCCCCCCTGGCCCAACAAGAGCTGTTTTTAATGCTACCACACAGATTCACTACATCACCAGCTTTGTTCTGGTCCTCGTTTCAGACGCAGACTTAACCTTTGCCCCGTGAAACTTTTCTGTAATTTCCCCTCTCATGAGATCTGCAAAAGTAAATCTCCTTAAATCTCTCGCACACACAAACACCAAAGGCCACCAGGTATGCCCTTGTGTCACCCAATCTGCCCTAAACAGCACGCCTCGGTGAGCAGGACTGCTTCAAACCAAAGCTGCAATTATATGAGTGCTGCCTGAAATGCCTGGGGTGCTTCTTTCACTCCTATTCAATTCTCTCCTTTCTAATTACCACCGCCCGGGGACAGGTGAGGAGTCAGGGCTGATAAGATCTTTTCTTTCCACCTGTAGCCAAAACACGCAAGCATGCAGACACACAAACACCAACAGACAGGAGGCCAGGAAACACGTGCGTACACACACACACACACACACACACACACATACATTGGCATCTCAGGTAATTTTCTTTTCTAATTATAATCTTCTAAAACATGTGGAGAATTCGCTTTCAGACAAAGTTGTATTTACAGAAGAAAGCTCAGCAGAGGTGGCTGGGTGCAGGGTGACTCAGGTCTTTATGTCACTGAAACACTTGAAAAAGAGGATGTCTGTCATTCGGTGGTGACACTGCGAGGTTCTGCTATCATGAAATCTATAGAGAAGGGATTATTTTCTTTTGGCTTAGAATTGACATCACCCAGGGTGTGAGGTTTTGTCTGGTATTTTCTGCTAAAAATAGTCTTAAAATAGTAAACTACAAATAACATATGAGGCCTCATGGTGGCAACGTTGGTTATTGCTCTCGGTTTGATCACTGGTTATTTTGAAGGGAATCAACATCTTTTTTTCATGTGTGTAAATAGGTTTTTATTAGGTAGTCCAGCTTCTTCCCACAGTCCGAAAAAATTCAGGACAAGTTGAGAGACCTGATGGTTATATCACTGTAACCATCCACCGTCCACACCCCCACACACACACCACCACCGCCGCCTTATAAAGGATTAAGCAGTAGTATAAGTAAATTGATTACAGCCCTTTAAATATGACGTTACTTAGAATGCAATTTTTTCTATGACGTTGACGTTACTTAGAATGCAATTTTTTCTTTTGCATTTTTTTTTGCATTCATTCATAATATGTACAGTTTTATTATTATTAAGATGAAATATTTTAAATGTGATGTGATCGAGCCAATGAAGGACATATGACATGTGACGGCCTATAATATTTATCACCAACAAGTCCTTTATCGCCGGGGCTTTACAAATGACAAATGGCTCCGGCGTATAAAGTTCCAAAGATAAATGGCTCGACACATGTATTTGACGAGAGGTTATTTGAGAGCTGTTGAAAAGATATGCAGAATATCTGGAAGGCCTGTCTCCGCGGGTCATCAGTCAGCCCTGGACCCTCTTTTCAATTGATTGCGACCAAAGGTGACAACAAGTACTTAAGCGCACGTAAACAATGTCTGTGTGATGATCTATCACTGCGAGCAGTCTGGGAGTAACAAGAACTATTTGTGGCCTTAATTATCATTTTTCTCTGCCACTGTCAAAAGGAAGATCCGGCTTCACTGTCAGGTAGAAACAGGTAGGAATCTTAACACGCTGTACCAGAGGAAAGAAAAGAGATTTTTTTTTCTACTCTCTCCTCTGTTGTTCAGTAATCTGATCCCTCTGTCCTCAGGCTGCAAAACAGGCAGACAGCGAGCGGGTGACAACCACATTAACCTCTTCCTTCAGCGCTGAAGCAGTTGAAAAATGTAGATGAGAGATACAGCTTTGAATCTTCACTTCATGGATCATGTGTTCTGAGTTATGCATGAGCAGCGACTGCAGTGTTCCTCACACACACACACAATGGCAACGTGTGCGGCTTATTGACAGCTTGCATTAATGTGCGGGAGTAACCACCTGTGATTATTTCTCAGCTGCCAAACTCCTCCCTGCTCACCTCACCCACCTCCACACTTGCCCGGCTATTACCTGGCTCACGCCCCCTCCCCTCTCTGTGCTTCTTATCTTTTCATATTGTTCTCTGCTTCAATACTTCTGCTGCTGGCACAAGTCTCAACACTGCTGCTGAGCCAGGGATTAATGGTGAAGACATCACTCTACTTGTCTCTCTTCTCTCTCTAGTGCCACCCCTCTCTTGTCTCCTCCAAACCTCTGCATTTATCCAAATTCTGTCCTTTCGATTACGCTGCCGAACACTGTTCGACCTGAAAGGGGCGGCCGCAGGGAGGAAGACGTCAGACTGCTCGCCAGGTGCCACAGACACAAAAAAGTGAAACAAAAACTCACCAAAGGCGGCCACTTTGATGAGGATAGCGTGGAGGTCAGATGATATCATTTCAGAGAGCAGGGACTCTTGGTCCCGACGCCATAGATAGGCCAGAGGCTGCAAACTTAGCCGCGAACATCTGGGGGCCAGGTGATAGAGAAAAGAGAGAGCAGGTTGTAGATACAAAGTGGTTAATGATGAAGATTTGAAGGCTACAGACAATGAAACTAAGGAGGGAGAGAAAGCTTTTGTTTTCCCAAAAAGTCCTACCATATTTCAAACTATAAAGTGTGAGATAAATGTAAGCTGTAATGAAAAAAGTAATAAAAAACAGGCAATATTAAAAGTGTGCTGAGCCAATAGGAGCAGGAAATCAGCTTTGTGAGTAGTAGAAGTAGAAACTCTCACTAGAGATACACTGATGGCTGCACTAGTTTTAGCTGTTTTGCTAACCTTTTAGTTATCTCCATAAAATGTTCAAAAGAACCAGTGAGACTGACTTACACATTCTCCACACGGACCCTCTGGTAATCAGACAGAATGGCCCCCACTGACACCCCCTCCACAGCCTCCTTCTCCTGTGGGTTGGAAAGAAAAATGGAGTTGTATAAACCACATTTCTGTCTCTTTTTCCATTGCATTTTCTACAACAACACAGAGCTCCAACAGTGTCATTGTTTACTGTTTGCTCAACCTTCAACAGTTCTTCAGTGAAACCACACACATGCACGCACACACACAATTAAATTTTTATTTATTTATCATTTTTGTTAAACAATTTAGGCACAATGTATTTTTATGTGGGTCACTTTTTACCTATTTTTAAGCCATTTCTTCGGGTAAAGCACTCTTTATCTCCTTTATCCTCCAAGTTTGCTGGGATTTTATGTTAGTTTTTTAGCCATTTTGATTATTTTAGCTCTTCTATAGGCTTTTTCTTTTACCTTTTACCTTGTTTGTTGACTATTAGTATGGTTTAAGCATCTGTACAAGTCTTCTCTTGGCTTATTTTTGTTAGCTTTTTAAAGAAACAGCCAAGCTACATTAGCTTAGCTTTTTGTCATTTTCTAGCATTTTTTTCTTAATATTACAATTTTATACATCGTTTCTGTTTATTCCTGTACAGCTTTAGCTACTCCCACATTTCCCATTACTAATTCTCAAACTGGCTAATTTTAGCTAATCATGACTAATTTGTTTTTGTCAGCAGACTCTTCCTTTGTTTTGACCAGGTCTTGTAGGGATAAACACAGTCTAGCCACCTAAGGTCTTACTCACAGTTTGTACACCTGTGGGTGAAGGCCCATGTGTAAGAATAAGCACTAATACCTTTTAAGGCAGTTCCTGAACTTAATCAGTTATTTACTTCGCAGGGAAGATGACTGTGTATTTCCTGAAGCCTCAACGCTACGAGACAGAACAGTACTGACAACTGGAAGCATCATTGGATCATTATGTGTGTGTGATTGGCACGTATGTTTAATATTGCTGAGGGGTAATGTAATTGCTTTCTGTATCATTTTCATTTCCAGAAACAGTGAGACAGCGAGTATGCACTGGAGAGACACTGACACGGCCCTGAGACGTCTTCAATCTTCTGTCACTGTGAAAAACAGACTTGATCTGAGACGACACACACAAACAGCCGCATGCACATGCCAGTCGCAGCTGCAAGCTCATCAAATACACACACGTGCGCAAAATACAGTACATATCTCTCATCTCCGCCTAGACGCACACCTGCAGGTTCATTAGAACATTACATGGGCTGTAATTAGAATGAGAGCCAAGCCTATAGAAGGAGCGCGGGGATGCACAAGTCTCTAGTAAATTACCTTGTAGCCATTATCAATTTCCCTGGCTACTGGTGCTTAAGATAACCCACCTCCTCGCAACCTCCACCACCCCTCCTCCTCCTCCCACCCCCGTGGTCCCTTCCTGCAATTTTTCTCTGCCTGATAAACATGCTGATTAAAGCGAACAGCGTGTAAACCTTTGATACTTTCCTAAATGAAATCCATGCCATGCCCGGGGCGTGACACTGAGTTGCGATGCACTGCTCAGCGCACGCACACACACAGACACACACACACACACAACACAGCTCCATGTAGGCGTGCCAGCTAATCAGATAAAGGATGTGCTCTTTGTGTGTGTGTGTGTGTGTGTGCTGTTTATTGTGCAGCAAAGAATGTTAAGATATAAAAACACTGCTACAATTTAACTCTTTGACCCAAAGTTAATCATTTAAAGATCTTAATAACACCAGACTCAGCACTCAGGATTAAATATCTCTTCAACACTGGAAAATACATTATAGTCAATGCTGCTGCTGCTGCCGCCGCCCGGTGACAGTAATTATGTCAGACTGATAACATTTCAGCCCAGCACAGACCCAAGGGGGCTGCAGGCAGTGTGGTGTGTTTCTAGGTAAGCCTCAGGGCCAGCACTCTTTCATAACACAATGATAACCTTTTTCCTAAATGCAATTGTCACTTCCTAAAGAGGCAAATTAGGAGGCAAGGAGTGGAATAAGTAGAGACAGGAAAAAAAGAAAGAGAGAGACAAGAACGAGAGTGTTATGAAGGTGGGCTACATTAACACCGATTTGGACTCATGGATTTAATCTTGACAAGAGCAGACTTAGCCTGACAGAATGAGAGAGCATTAGACGAACGGTGAAAACGACCGCGCCACTGGAGCTCTTGTTCTCCTCTGCTTAGCCTATGACAGGCATATACAAAATGCAGTAAAATAATTTAAAAATTAAACAAAAAAAAGTTTGCCTTGTTTTTGAAACTTTGAATGTAATGAGTATTGTGAGTAACATTTAGCATTTTTTGATATGCTCACAATCCTTTTTTTTCTTCAGATTTTCCAGTTCAGAGCATGATGAATAATTTATTTTTTGTCATAACTATTTCTAGGCCAACTTCAAGTTGTGTGTTCATTTGTTTTTTTTTTTCGTTTTTGGCATTCTAGCTATATTTGCTACATTTTTGGCTAAAGTAAGATTTTTACTTTTTAGGTTTTTTTTTAGCTATTTTATTCTTTACCTAACCTGTGATTCGTGTTGTATTTCTGATGGGGATTTACTTGTGTTTTGGTTATTTTTCAGTTTTGGAATAGGTTAACCTATTTCTAGCAGAGTGTTATTTTTTAGCTAAATTGCTTTTCTGAGCTCTTTTGTCCTTGCTCTTCTTGTTGGCTAATATCAGCAAAAGTTGAATCCACAAAATAACTGCTAGATATTTAACAGTTAAATCAGTTCTTTTTGAGTCTTAGCTATTTTGTAAATTATCATTAGCATTAGCTTTTTTATTATCTTCTTTTTTGTTACATATTCACTTTTACGTTAGCATTTCTGGCTGATATGTTAGTTACCTTTATTAAAAGAACATTTAGCATTTACAGTATATCTCAACCTTTAGGTAACCCAATAGTAATTTAGTCATTTTTGTTTCTAATCAGTTGTCTGATTTTGGATTGATTACAAACCAAAAGGAATTCACAAGAAACTTAACTAAGTTATAAACAAACATTTTTACATGACATCATGCTGCTTTACAGAACCCAGACGTGCTCAACAATGTAAGAAAACAATTCTCACACATCCTCTGGTCTTTTAATATAGACCCGAGAGAGATTATTGCAAAAGCTAAGGAAAATGATTATTTTTGGATATGGTTTTGTTTTTGTCTACATTACTACTATCACCAGGAGACAGAAAGAAAAAAAAATGAATTAGAGGCCAGCTAATTCTGCGCTAGACGAGATTTTACAAATTCCAGACATTCTTTCTTGTCCTCCTGTGGGAAAAGTAGGAAAAATTACTATGCAGCAGGGACATACTGTATATAGTGGATGTATAAATCTGAATGGATATATATTATGGGAATTGTTACATGTGTATTCATGATGCAATAAAAAATTATATATATATATAAACTTTGATTTTTTATGGTGGCTGAAAAATTTATCAAAATGGTTTATAGAGGGAATACTTGACAAAGCGACAAGGTAGCTCAGGAGGCACAGTATAATAATAAATAACAGTAAAAATTTTATGAGCGCTATCTGGCTAAACGATGTTTTGACTACATTATAGGTGTGATCGGGGTACGAAGTTAACTTAATAATAAATCAAAGCAGCTGAGGTAATCAGGACTGCTGTGACCCACAAACCAATTTTCTTTCTTCATGACTCTTGGCACAGGATCCAAAGATAGAGCTACCTTCCTGTCACTTTCCCTTTTTTTAACATTTAATGACCCTGCTTCATTAAAGCAAACTTCACCTGATCCAGGACCTAAGGCCCTGATTTAACTAAGGCCTGGAGCTGGACTATTTCACCCGGCCTCGTAGAACAGTACAACCCTCTGTCTGGTGCCCGATCAGGGGTACAAATAAACAAAAGCTTTGGCCCGGCTTCCTCTGTCTGCATCGGCAGGGAGAAAAGCTATTAATGAGGATCTATGGCCCACAGCAATGAAAAAACCCTGAGTCCCTCCAGCCCTGTCCATCAGAGTACTTAGCCCCATGCAGTCATTAACTTCTGTTACTAATTGTCAAATTCATTAAACTAATCCTTCCCCCCACATCCGGATGTCTCCCGTGGAAATGGATGAAGAGGGCTGAGTTATTAAGATGTCAGCTGCGGGGGGAAGATTACGGCCAGCAGACACGCTCTACAAAGGAACGATACGGTCATTAAACTCTATATCAAGGTAGGCTATGTGATATACTTTGTAATTATATATACATTCATCTTTGTAGGGGAATAAAAGAGTGGTTGAAATGTATTCAAAGTCATAGACGTGCCCTCGGTGAAGATATGTATCTGCCCCCAAGTCACAGTAAGTATTAGACTTCAGAATGCAGCCTCTCAACTCAGACTGAAAAATATTCGGCAGCTAAAGCCATTAGCGGCATTCAAGGCAATTAGAAAGCCATAAAATATTAAAAATTCAATATTCATATTCGTATGGAATACATTAGAGTCCTCATTAGCTCTGTCAATGGCTGTCACCATGAAATCTTAATTACACACGCCAACAATACAAAGAGCCATTCTGCAAAAAAATGGTAGGTTTCCAAAAATTGCCTGCTTCAGCCTCATCTGACAAGAGAAAAGCCAAAGTTGGCAGATCTTTACTGCACAGAGACAAGGTCACGTGTTTCCTTCCTGTGTGTTTCAGGTCTGAAGTTGTTGGCGTGAACCTTTTATGATTTTACAGCTTCTTTAAGAAGCATGTTAGCGTGATGGCATGGGAAAAAAAAGCAAAGTGAAGGAATTAATTTAAGTGCTTTGAATGACGGTTTGCTCAAGGACAACAAGGAACCATCATTTCCCATGTCCTCATCATCTTGGAGACACTGTTCCGACCCTGTGGCTTCCTGTCCCTTCCTCCTTCCCTCCATCACTCCTCCTCATGAAGCCTCTTTCCTTCCAGGATCCATCATCTAAGTGACTGAACGCGACATGATTTTAATGTTCTCTCCATTAGATCAGCTCTGGCCTCGTTGTAATTTAATGGGATTGTTCTCTCCCGTTCCTCTACATGGTGGGAACATGGGA